AATTTTAATGTTTTTATTTTTTGTATTATCTGTATTTTATCTTGGCTGTTCACCGCCCTGAGTCCTTCGGGAGAAGGGCGGTATAGAAATTTGATAGATAGATAGATAGATAGATAGATAGATAGATAGATAGATAGATCAATCACCTTTGCTCAGGAATTAAATAAGCAAACCTTACTTGCTTATTTAATTCCATTCCCCAAATGTTTTGGGGTAGTTCTCTCACGATGCAGCTGCAATCTGTAAAGCCATCCTCAAAATATGGGACATTGGTGTGAGCGAAGGTCCATCTGCCTGGGCTGACTAGCCAGATTCATGCAGGATAGCAAATCATCTTTTGCTTAAGCAAGGTTTGTTAATCAAGCCACCACTGATTAGATTCATGCACTGTTGTCAGCAGTCAACATACCACTGGGGCTTGTGCACACACAACCAGAATCAAGAAGCCACAATTCTCTTCGTGCAAAACACAAAATCCTGTCTTGATGTGCAAAGCACGTGTTGACGTGATAGCTGTGGGCTATTCAAGCTTAACATTGAACGTTCGGTGTCGAAAGCTTCTTAAGTGAACAGGTCTGGCACATAATTCTGAGTGTGCACCTACCGGTATTATCCAGCAATGCGCACATCCACTCTGTTAGCTGGGATTCTGGAGGAAGGGAGTGGTGGGGAACCTCCTGCATCCTGCAGATGCTGAGACTTGGATATTCAGCCTCCAAATCTGCAGGTCAGGTTATATGGAGGCCAGAGGGAATGGCCACGAAGGCAGGAAGAAGAGCCATTACTTAAAGCAGATAAGTCAGATAAGAGAGGCTTGAGCCCAATCCAAGAAAGTAACTTGAGAAAACATCTCGGACAAGGCCCTCCCTCATTCACACAAAGATAAAGAAAGGAAGCACATTCAGAATAACAGAGGTGGAAGGGACCTTGGAGGTCTTCTAGTCCAACCCTCTGCTCAAGCAGTGGACCCTATACCATTTCAGATAATCACTGTACAATCTCTTCTTTAAAACCACCAGTGATGGAGCACCCACAACTTGTGGAGGCAAGCTGTTCCACTGGTTGACTATTGATTGATTGATTGATTGGATTTATATGCTGCCCTTCTCCGGAGACTCAGGGTGGCTTACAATGCGTTAAGCAATAGCCTTCATACTTTTTGTATATACCTGCTTAGTAGGGCTTTCGGGCCCCCAAGCGGTGTTCTTTTTATACAAAGTCAGCTTATTGCCCCCACAAACAGGGTCCTCATTTTACTTACCTCGAAAGATGGAAGGCTGAGTCAACCTTGAGCCTGGGGAGATTCGAACTTGCGGTAATTGCAGGCAGCTGGTGCTACTTAACAGCACTTTAGTCTGCTGCGCCACCAAGGCTCTGTTCTCGCCGGCAGGAAATTTCTCCCTAGTTCTAGGTTGCTTCTCTCCTTGATTAGTTTCCATCCATGGCTTGCAAGCTTCAGCTGCTATATTTGTTTCAGTAAAAGGATCCTGACATATATGGCATGGATTTGCCCTTCGTAGCTGCCAGATTGGCAGCTATGGTTTTTCATGCTTTCTGGAGAGTCATCCCCAATTGAAAGGGCTGAACTGAGCTAGAGATGCGCCCGTCTCCTTGAGATGCAGAAGGTAGCAAATGACTTTCCCCAAATCGACACACTCCAAAGGTTGTGTCTGCGTGCACGCACAAACGATGGGTGTGCAGTTTCTCTTTTCAGTCAGAAAGGGGAGCTTAGTGTTAAAATATCTGGCAGCCACCTCATGAGAACAGGCTGCGCATGAAATATTTTCTTTTTTAAAAAAAACAACAACACACCTATTTCTTATTTTATGAGGTATTTTTTGTGGGGGTAGGAGTCTTTATCTTGCGTACGTGCTCTCCGTATTAGTCACAAGCTGGATTTACAAGGCATGCATGTGATTTTATATTGCCGGAAACCGCCGTAAGGGAACTCTGTCCTTGGCTCCTTTGAAGGTGCCTGAGCTCTGGATCGTTTCTCGGTGTGCTCTGGACTCCCTCTGGAGGCAAGAGATAAATGTCGGCAGACGAGAGAGCGGTCCATGCGGTCAATTCTTCAGTTTTGGGGGGGGTCCTTTATGATGACAGAGGTTTTTAAGAAGAGACTGGCTATCCCAGGGGTCCCCAAACTTGGCAGCTTTAAGACTTGTGGACTTCAACTCCCAGAATTCTCCAGCCAGCATAGCTGGCTGGAGAATTCTGGGAGTTGAAGTCCACAAGTCTTAAAGCTGCCAAGTTTGGGGACCCCTGGGATAACCATTTGTCTGAAATGGTGTCAGGTTTCCTGCTTGAGGCAGGGGGTTGAGCTAGAAGACCTCCAAGGCCCCTTCCAACTCTTGTTATGACCAGGGTTTCATTTTTTGTTTCCCTTTAAGAAGGAAGGAAATAATCGATAGAAAGATTAGAGGTTTATAGATGTTAGGCATGTTTTTTCTGCTGTTTAAACAATAATATGAGGATCACCTAAGTTTGGTAATATTGTATTGTAATTTGGATTAATATGAATGGTGCCCAGAATCAACACTGCCCACATACAATATGGATGTATATTTTTTTTAAAAAAAGAAAGGAAGAAAGAAAGAAAAGGAAAAAAAGGAAGGCAGGCAGGCTAGATAGCTTGGCTAAGTTATTTAATTCGTTTTAATTAATTAAATTAATTAATTAATTCAATTAAATTATTTAATTCGTTTTAGTTATTTTAAATTTTGTATCTACATGTTTTATTCTATGGCTGTTCACCGCCATGAGTCCTTCGGGAGTAGGGCGGTATACAAATTCAATAAAAGAAAGAAAGTTTAACAGAGCTTTTTTTTTGTCAAAGAAGAAACCCTTATCAATATTTCTAAGCATGCTTAATTGACAGGATCCTGTTTTGGATGCCTGAATCCAAACCGACCTCCGGATGGAAAGGCCTCGTTGTCTGTTTGAAGGACAGCTAATGAGAGACCTTGTCAGTGACCCCAAGCTGGCTGTGTGGCTGGAACTTTATTATGTGTTTTTGCAAGTCGACAGACTTGTTCTGCGAGGCTTCCGGACCCCCTGCTGTAAAACAGTAGGAGCATAGTCCTCCCCTGGTTTTGTTCGTTAATTTTATGTGATTTACTTGAAAGGAAGGGATTGACACGTTTAGCGCACGGTGTTAGACCAAGGAGTTCTTCTAACACTCGGTCCTCATCCGGTTTCTCTTAATTTGGGGAAGTGAAATCAAAACTCCGGCATGACTTGGCTTTATGGTTTGAGTAATGTCCCTTGATAACGGTAATCTCAATCTTCTGTCCTCTTAGAATAATGTCCACCGGGGAAAACTGTAGATAGCCTGGAGATCATGAGTATAACCTTGGGTGACCACCAAGTTCCTTCCTCTCTACCTTTGTTTTATTTTAGATTATTTAAATTCAAACAAATCCAGAGGAGGCCTCTCCTGCTGTGATACAGCCTCACTGATTGTGTTTGTTGACAAGGACGTTTCTAAGGCTTAACAGAAGGCAGCCCCTGGCATTTTTAGAAGCCAAAATGTTGGGTTTTCTCTACTCAGGGCCTTGTTCAGAACTGTGTCCCAAGATTTCTAGAGGAGAGGAAGTGAACACCATGATAAAATGGACTGAAATATGCAGGAGGGTGGACAGGCTATCTAGCCATTGGCCTTCTATATGTGTTTTGTGACTGGTTAGGTCACTTCTGACCATCACACTCTGAAAACACCATCATATAATCTGAAAATGTCAAATATTCCCATGGATTCCTCAAAGTTACCCACCTAGACCATACCTTCAATATAACTTCTACAGAAGGTCTGGTTTCCGGTCATTAAGAAGGTCCTGTTATGATCACTCAATTGCAACTAACTGCTGAGTTGCAGAATTGGTGCAGTTTAATTATCTGTACCTTGAACGTAAATTAGAATTGTTGATTATTTTACTCGTTAGGTTCTCGGCTCAGTTCCATCTACTTTTTGGTCATCCACCAATTATCACAGGCCCTTGGTAGAATAATGAGAGTCAACCCTGTCCTAAGATATATCGCTTAATTTTATCTACAATGCTACTGTCTAATTCTAACCACAGAGATAAGTGCTGTGATTACGTAAATCTTATGATTTGATTCAGAAGTTAACCAAATTCAACCATTGGGAAAGTCTTTTTCTGCATGCACAGAAATCCCTTGTTTAACATAGTGAGGGAAATTCAAACCTATGTGGCTTTTCGAATACAGTCACAGATGATCTATTTATTCTCATTATCTATATTATTATGTTGACCGTGGTTATTTTAAATGCTTTTTGCTGATAGTTCCCCATCCTTTATCTTGCCAGTGACCCTGTCAATGGGTTGCTTTGCCCTGTGACTCTTTTTGGCTGATTTTTGAAACAGAAAAGAAATGCGTGTTGTCTAACCACCCCAGCTTTTATCAGCTTGTACGAAGGGAATATCAGCAAGGCTGGCAGGAAACACACCGAGCCTCCTTCATCTGGTTATTTAGTCTCTCCTGCTTTACTCCATCTAACTAAGTGAATGGATTTGCAGTGTTGAAAAGCCACCCGGCAGTGGGTCATTGTTCCACATCTGAAACCCTGCTGATTTTGCAAAAGTGAGAGAGAGGCAATGGTCAGCTCTGACCGCTGAGTGTTCGGTCAAGAGAATTCTGGAAGGCAGGTCTTCTGCTGCCTGAAACATCTCATAGCATCATTGGTCCATGTTCTGTGGGGGCCTGTCGGGCACCTCTGCAGAGGTCTATTCAGCTTTACGCTTTTGGCTTGGAAAAATCTCAATTTTGCAGAAACACAGATATCTGTGAGGTGCTTGGTGGTTTTCTAGCAGAAATTACGTAGTTGGTTAATGAAATGTGTGCAAGAAAACCACCAAGCTCAGAGAGCACCAAGGACCCCACAGTTCAACCTGGAGCTTCAAATATTCTCTTCTTTTAGGCGATGTGTGTGTAGTACATTCTGAACATAAGGAACATTGAACATTTCTGCATTTTCTTAGGTACCAACTGCTGACAATGTTGTCAGGCGGTCCGGATTGCCGTGTTGCAGAGAAGAAACCTTTAGTAGACAAAGAAGAGGTAAGTTGTGCTCCCTGAGCCTGGTTGTTTTCTTGCAGATGTTTCATTGCCCAACTAGGTAACATCATCAGTGCTAGAAGGCAGCGGGGTTTGCTTGTCAGCTTAAGAGAGAAATTTGCATAACTGCACCAGAAAGACTGCCAAATCTTCCAGACTCTCAAATCACAGATCCTGTTCAGCAGTGCAGTAGTGACAATATTTATGGGATAATCTTCCCCAGTACTCACTCGGCAGTGATTTTCATGTCTGTCTACTACCATGTAAACTTTTTTTTTAAAAAAAAGTTATTCATATCAAAGTACCCAATTTGGGAGTTGTGAAATAGTATGGACAGAGAGAAAGTGGCTAATTTGGAACTACCTGGGTTTTTTGGCACTTTACCATTTATAAGATGCTGCTGGCTCCCCAAAATGTTGCTATTAAGTGAAAAGTATAGATTAACGGTGAGCGAATGGGTCACCAGAACTGTCTGCAGGACTTCCTGTGATGAAAGAGCTGAAAAGCCATGGAACAACTTCCTGCCATTTTGAGAGACATAAAGTGATGTAAATCCTAAAATGAGTTTAACTAAGCCTCTATTTTGGAGATGGGGTAGGGGTGGAGAATTTTATTTATATATATATATAAACCCCACAGCTGTGGACCTCACCAACTTTGCATCATTGCTCTTACCCCTGCGTTACGAATAAATAGATTTTTTTCCCCCAAGAATTGCTCCTTGTGATTCAGCACACGATCAATTTCTCCAGGGAGATGCCAGCTGCTATTTACGGTGCTTTAAATACACAGGAAGTAGTCATTTATGTAAACCAAATTTAGTGACGGTTTGAGTAAAATCAATTTTATTGGGGAGGCATCACACGGGCCACCAATAAGCTGGGACGCCATGATTTCTTCCTCCTGCTAGTCCCAGTCAGGGGGATGAATGTCTCTGAGGATCTGCAAATGATAAGAATCGTAAGGTTTCCACTTATGGGAGGAATGATGGAGTTAATAGCATCTGTAGGCCACGGTGGCGCAATGGTTAGAGTGCAGTACTGCAGGCTACTTTTACTGACTGCTGGCAGGCTGCAATTTGGCAGTTCGAATCTCAGCAGGCTCCAGGTTGACTCAGCCTTCCATCCTTCCCAGGTGGGTAAAATGAGGACCCAGATTGTTGGGGGTGATAGGCTGACTCTGTAAACTGCTTAGAGAGGGTTGTAAAGCACTGTAAAGCGGTATATAAGTCTACGTGTTGTTACTAGGCTCTGGCCTTATTTACCAGTGCAGTCCTGATCTTATTTCTGGATTGGATCCAGGCTGTTTTTATTTAGGGTCACTCAGTGGTCTTTCCAATGACCCCTGTAACTTCTGCCCCATTGGTTTGGCGAGATCCTCTCTAAACATGACAACATTGAAGAAGTTCTATTTCATTTAACTTACATAAAGGGGGCAAAGTTAATAAGAAATCTCCACAGCATTTAATTCAGAAATGAAACCTTTGGCACTTTCAAACTTGTAACCCTCTTGTAACTTCTTTTTTCTAGGCCATCACTCGTCTCCTGCCTGACATCGAAGTTGACATTCACGTAAGTATGGTAGAACAGACATTTTACCTCAATTAAATATTGCCATAGGCATCTAAGGAGATACAGTCGATTCTCTTTAGGTGGTCCATGGAGACAGCCAATCGCTATAATATAAGCTATAACATGAATGTTTCACAGACGCACTTAGAGAAAAAGGGTTCTTGGGAAAGCAAATATCTGATGAAAGCTGGCAGATGAACAAGTTGCCAAGTTTGACGTATGTAGTTTCAAATCAGTGGTGGGTTTCAAATTTTTTTACTACCGGTTCTGTGGGTGTGGCTTGGTAGGCGTGGCATGGCTTGGTGGGTGTGGCAGGGGAAGGATATTGTAAAATCTCCATTCCCTCCCCAATCCAGGGGAAGGTTATTGCAAAATCCCCATTTCCTCCCGATCAGCTGGGACTTGGGACTTGGGAGGCAGAGAATAGGTGGGGGCGGGGCCAGTCAGAATTTTTGCTACCGGTTCTCCGAACTACTCAAAATTTCCGCTACTGGTTCTCCAGAACTGGTCAGAACCTGCTGAAACCCACCTCTGTTTCAAATGTTTGTGTTTACTCTGGCTTTGGTGCTGTTTTCCGAAGCCTTCAAATCCTCAGGGATAGCTGTCCTACGAAAGAGTGATTGATTTACGTTCCGTGTATATCAGCCAGGGGTCTTCCCACACTGATCAGAAAGGAATCTTAATGAAATAATCCATGCTGGAAATGTTTGGGGTTGTTTTTTTTTTTGCTCAGCATGTAAGCATCTCCGGATTAATTTAAACCAGGGGTGGCTGATTGGGGAATTCTGGGAGTTGAAGTCCACAAGTCTTAAAATGGCCAAGGTTGGAGCCCCCCTGATTTAAACCAAAGGTTGAAGAAGGATTTCTAAATCACTATGAAAGGCTGGCTTTGTAATGTCCTCCACTTCACCAATACCACAAGGACAGAGAAGCTGTTTGCCAGGGTGCTTGCAAAATGCAAGATCTCCCTTTGAGCTAGGTCGGGTGTCAGCAACCTGCGGCTCTGGAGCCGCATGTGGCTCTTTGGGCCCTCTGCTGTGGCTTTCTGTCGGATGATCCCACCACTGGCTGGCCTTGCCCTCCCCTCCCAGGCACTCCTCGCCTGACCTGAGAAGGTAAGGGCAAAGAGAAGCGGCCAGGGTAGAGACAGAGAGATACAGAGAGAGGGGGAGGGAGGGAGGAAGGGAGGAGGAAGAGAGAGATGTCAAAAGGGCTTTGTGGTTCCCAGTGTTTTTTAATAACCGGTTCACTGCCATAATGACCAACTGGGTAGGCGTGGCTAGAGGGGGTCATGTGACTGGTAGAAATGAGTGATGTCATTGGCCACGCCCACCCAGGTTTTGTGGCTCCCAGTGTTTTCTTTTCTGTGGAAAATGGATCCAAATGGCTCTTTGAGTGTTTAAGGTTGCAGACCCCTGAGCTAGGTGGAGGGGATGATCTAATGGCAAAGGATGCTAAAGCTATTCTCAGTTAAGCACTGGTTCTGTTAACCAGGTCCTGGGAAAGGAGGAAGCCCAGAAAATGGGATTCAGAGGTAATCCCACTTCCATCAAGGCTAACAAACACTGGTTTCCTATGGCTGTTAACTATTCAACTTGCTTGGATGTCCCATCCAGATTGCAATAGCAATAAGACTGACATACCACCCCGTAGCGTCAAGGTTCCAAGTAATATACCCATAGCAAACAGAACTCTGAGGCAGATAGACTCCTGAAAGAACAGTTTTATTAGATATATATTGGCTTGGACTGGTGAAAACCAACTCTAAAGGTTCCTGTGGATTTCACCTAATTAAAAGTAAAGTTTCCCCCCCTTTCCCAAACAAATCAGTCACAAGGTACTGTCCGGTTGCTTGGAAACTTCCCTCCTCCTCCTCTCTTCAGCTACCTGTGGGAATGTCCTTGGTTCCCAGGGGAAACTATTTCATTTTGGCTACAAAATCCCAACTATCTCTATTCCCCGCCCCCCCATCCCTCATCACCATTGTGGCACCCCTGAAGCCTCCAAGATGGCCTCAGTCAGGACAGCTTCAGAGTTGACACATAGTTTGTCACTTTAATCACTCTGTGTGTGATTAACAGCATTATTTGAATATTGCCCCCAACCATCTGGGTCTTCATTTTACTGACCTCGGAAGGATGGGAAGCTGAGTCGACCTCCAGCCTTATCAGGATCGCACTCCAGGCTGCGGGCAGAGTTAGCCTGCACTACTGCATTCTAACCAGGGCTCCTAGGTTTTTCCAGGTCCAGACAGTATGCGTGTGGTCCTCTTAGGAGAAGCACTCATCAACACATTGTGGTGTGGTGAGGGACCCAGTCCCTCTCTTTCTCCAGAATTGTAGCAATTAGGATAACAAACCATGCCCTTCCTGAGCTCCAAGCAGATTATTATTAGTTTTTCTTTGCGCCCCGAGAGAGAAACATCTGCCGCTAACCTGGGTTCGAACTCTCAACCATCCGAGCAGGAGGCGAGCGTCTTCACCACTAGGCCACCACGCCGATCTGAATTTGCAATAAGAACCTCAAAATGCAGCCCAGCTGCCTGGGCGGACACACAGCTTTCACGGAGCCAACATAGAAACGCCTCTCTCTTAAGGCAGAGGATTGACAGCACAGCTGTTCACTGCTGGATTCCAGGAAGGGGTGACCTCTTTTCTTGGACTGTATCTCCCATGGCCACGTGCAGCAGGAGAGCCTACTCTGCAGCGTTCTGCAAGGCGCCAGATGGCAGGTTGATCTTCAGCCTCCTATCGGATTAGCGCGCGTACCTGGGATATTTTTTATTGCCGAGGCGAGGGTTGCAAGGCCAGGGTTGTCAGCAAAGCGCCTCTTAGCGATAAAACTTGATGTTCATTAGGATGAGACGCCATCTGTTTTCTTGGGAGAAGCCTACTGCAATCACAACAGATTTCACCCAGAGATGACCGTTCGGCCAGCGTGGAGACAGCTGACAGGCGGAGTCGTGTGCCGAAGGGCTTAGAGCAAGGATTGAAGGGCACATCAATGTAGACCATGTATTAAATTTGATCCTAATCCTTGTCCAGTAGTGATAATCTCCCAAAGCCCAAACTTCTATGCAGCCTGAAAGTTTACTGGTCGGTCTCGTAGAGAATAATAACCTGTCTGTTTGGGGAAGGTAGTTTTTTTTTTATGGGCTGTTGGTATTAAAACCTGGAAGGAGAAGGTTATATCTGCGTCCTTTCCCCAAGGGAGCGTCCTCTATCAGGGACCACAGAAAAGGACTTTCTTAGTCGCCATCCCTCCTATGGGAGTTCAGATGAGCCTTTCCTCTCCTGAGTTTCGTCAGGACAGCTAGAACTTTTCTAGCATGCCTTCCGGGCCTTTGAATTCTCCAGCAGTTTTATGGAAGAGGTCCTTAGAAGTACCTTTTGATAGATATTTCAATTTCAAGTCAAACCAGAGCTGGAAGGAACCTTGGAGGTCTTCTAGTCCAGCCCCCACTGGTCAAGCAGGAGACACTGTACCATTTCAGACAAGTGGCTGTCCAGTCTCTTCTTAAAAACCTCCAGTGATGGAGCACCCACAACTTCTGGAGGCAAACTGTTCCACTGGTTAATTGTTCTCACTGTTAGGAATTTTCTCCTTAATTCCAGGTTGCTTCTCTCCTTGATTAGTTTCCACCCATTGTTTCTTGTCCTGCCGTCTGGTGCTTTGGAAAATAAGTTGACTCTCCTCTTCTTTGTGGCAGTCCCTCAAATATTGGAATACTGCTATCATGAGCCTGGATAGCTCAACAGACAGAGCTCTGTAATTTAACACCAGCTGTCTGCAATTAAAAATAAGATCGAATCTCGCCAGGCTCAAGGTTGACTCAGCCTTCCATCCTTTCTAAGGTAGGTAAATTGAGGACCCAGTTTGTGGGGGCAATAAGATGACTTTGTATAAATATACAAAAGGATGAAGGCTATTAATGCATTGTAAGCCACCCTGAGTCTCTGGAGAAGGGCGGCATATAAATCAAATTAAAAATAAAAAAAATAAAATAAAATCATGTCCCCCTTAGTCCTTCTTTTCTCTAGACTAGCCATAACTAGTTCCGGCAACCGTTCTTTATATGTATTAATCTCCAGGCCTTTAATCATCTTAGTTGCTCTTCTCTGCCCTTTTTCCAAAGCCCAAATTTGCTATGTACAGTATATTGTTTTCATTTCATTCCTGTGTTGTGTACGTACACTGCTCATTGCTGAGCTGATGGCAGAGTAGACTTATGTTTTCTCTGCACTTCCTGGAGGACCACCCTCCGCCTGCACTCTCAGACCAACTGTGAACTACTAGGTTAAAAGTAAGACATGAAAAATACCTACTGATGGAAGAGAATATTTGTAACTCAGGGTTGACCTCGGGGTTGACCTATTCTCCAAAGCACCTGAGGGTAGGACAAGAAGTGGGACAACAAGGTAGGACAACAAGAGCCTTGGTAGTACAGTGGTCTAAGGCACCCTGTTATTAAGCTGGTTATTAAGACCAGCTGCCTGCAATTACTGCAGGTTCGAATCTCTCCAAGGCTCAAGGTTGACTCAGCCTTCCATCCTTTCTAAGGTAGGTAAATTGAGGACCCAGTTTGTGGAGGCAATAAGCTGACTTTGTATAAATATACAAAAGGATGAAGGCTATTGCTGAGCACATTGTAAGCTGCCCTGAGTCTCCGGAGAAGGGCGGCATATAAATCAAATTAATAATAATAATAATAATAATAATAATAATAATAATAATAATAGTAGTAGTAGTAGTAGTAGTAGTAGTAGCAGTAGTAGTAGTAATGGGTGGAAGCTTGTTAAAAAGAGAAGCAACCTAGAACTAAGGAGAAATTTTCGGACAGTGAGAACAATTAGCCAGTGGAACGGTTTGCCTCCAGAAGTTTTGGGTGTCCCTTCACTGGAGGCTTTGAAGAAGAGCCTGGACAGCCATTTGTCTGGAGTGGCATAGGATCTCCTGCTCAAGCAGAGGGTGGACTAGAAGACCTCCAAGGTCCCTTTCAACCCTGGTATTCTACGTAGTCTTCTATTGGTGTCTTTTCCTGAGGAAATAAACAGTATGAAGTTGTTTAAAGCTTTTATCATTGCATTTGTACAGGAGGTACTTCATTATTTTGCTTAAGCTACTATGTGTTTTTAGCGTAAATTTGATTTACTTTCTTATTTATTTAACACGTTTATATGACTGCCCATCTCGCAAGAAGAGATTCTGGCAGCGTATGACAATCAGTAAAACAATAATTATAAAACCGTCGTTGTAAAAATATTAAATCTTCCATCTTAATATTAAATATTAAAATCCTAATAAAAGCACTGCAAAAATATATATAAAGTGCCCTGCTGTACTTGTAAGACAGGGACTTGTCTGGACAGTGATTATTATCCTTTGCAACCTGCAGGTGCACACAATATTTGCTGGATGGCAGGACCCAGATTCCTGGTGCTAAGCCGCCTTTAAATCTGATTTAAGGATGATGTCGCACAATAGTTTCCTCACTTGGGATTCAGGGCTTAGGCAGGGCAGTCGCTTGGCTATAAAAACCAGTTGCTGCCCAGATCCCAAACAAAAGCTGATATTTATTTTTCTCGTTGGACTCGTTGTGATTAACTTCAAACTGTACTTTCTAAAAATGGTGCTCAATGTGGAAGACACTGCCTATTTGTTGCGTAATGCTGTAAGTATTTTGGGAAGGAAAGGGAATATAGGAAAGCCAGAAACAACAACCCCCCCAAAAAATATTATTACTATTGTTTGAGATTTTTAAGTTGGGGGTAAATTTTGGAAGCTTAATTTTTTCTTCGATTGCTGATGACAATATCTACATTTAATGACTGACAGGAAACATTTATGACAGACTTTTGGCGTGAAAGAGAGAAAAATGAATGACGTGGCTTTGATGATTAGAAAAAAAAATGACTATTAGGGAAAAAATGAGCTTCTTTGTAATCATGGAGTGAGAGATAACTTTGTAATCATACAATAGTTGTATTTGCTGCAAAAGAAATTAGAAACTGCTTCTTTTTATTTCCTTTTATCCTTTTTTTCTGCACATTTGTTTTTTTCCCAACCTTTCTCTTTTGTTGTCTCCTGAATTAGTTCATGTAAGTTTTTATGTTCTCTTTAAAACTTTTAATTACATACACACATACACACACGCTAAACAATTGTGACCCGTTGTTCCTATATATTCTCTAATTCTATAGTACTGAAGCAACTCTAGCAAGTTTTTTATTATTATTACATTAATTTTAAAAGTTAAACAATGGACGTTGCTCAACGTCTAACTCTAGCAAGTTTAACAGCCAGAGCTCATGTGGCTAATCGTATGAATTCTGCAAGGAATCAAAATAATGGGCAAATATTTCCATTGGTTTTTAACCCTCTGCATTTCTTCAGGGTGTGATACTGATAACATCCCTGCGCTGATCAAATTTACTGAACCCACTTTTGCTGAACCCCAGTTATTGGCTCACATGCCTTCATTCAGACGTCTTAACAATTTCAGCCTGACGATATGACCAAAAGTGAATATTATGGAACACGTAGTCCCTAACATCCGACAAAGATTGGGTTGTTGTGTCTCCCCGATGTTTTCTAGATGGTGGGAAAGAGAGAATCGGGTGATTTTCTCTGATAGAAGTTGGCAATCGTATGAAGTCATACAGTAGGCTTGCAGAGAATAGTAGTAATAAAGGAGACTATTTGTAGGAAATGAGGGATCCGTGGTACTCTCTGAGCTTGGTTATTTTCTTGCAGAATCTCAAACTGGGAGTTGAATTGATTATTATTTCTCCAAGGTGCTCTCTGAGCTGGGTTGTTTTCTTGTAGACATTTCATGACCCAAACTAGGTAACATCTTCAGTGCTAGAAAGTACCTACTCCCTTCTAACACTGATGATATTCCCTAGTTGGGTCATGAAATGTCTGCAAGAAAACAACCAAGCTCAGAGAGCACCCAAGGACCCCTTGGAGAAATAATAATCAACTCAACTCCCAGTTTGATCCTCTCTTTAACGTTGACTCCTCTTTGTTCTGATGGGAACTCCAAATAGCTCATTACTAAGGACTTCTTTTGCCCTTGTAGGTACAAATGGATAATTTGTCACTGAGGACTTGAATGATGCACTGGCAGACGTGGTGAATAGAATCCAGCAGAGCTACTTAAAGTAGCTTTGACTGGTGCTGCCAGGTGTTGGATGTTAAATACTTGGTGGGATTCAGAAGCCTTTTCGTTGAGGTGCAGATGGCTAATGCTGCCTTCTCCCCACAGGAACAAGACATTGAGACTGTCCATGGGTCAGTCCATGTCACCATGTGTGGGACACCCCGGGGGAACAGACCTGCTATTCTAACATACCATGATATTGGGTTGAATCGTAAGTATGACTTGCCCATTCTCATAACCATCTGGCAGTGGAGAACTTCTTCTTTCTGGCTTAGTTACTCTGTTTTGTATCTTGTGATCTAATCAGTGGTGGGTTTCAAAAATTTTTTTTACTACCGGTTCTGAGGGCGTGGCTTGGTGGGCGTAGCAGGGGAAGGATACTGTAAAATCTCCATTCCCTCCCCAATCCAGGGGAAGGATACTGCAAAATCCCCATTTCTTCCCGATCAGCTGGGACTCGGGAGGCAGAGAATAAATGGGGGGCGGGGCCAGTCAGAATTTTTACTACCGGTTCTCTGAACTACTCAGAATTTCCGCTACCGGTTCTCCAGAACTGGTCAGAACCTGCTGAAGCCCACCTCTGCATTGGGGCCACCAAGTCTGGTTTATGCCATAATTCTTCAATTTCGATTGAATGGGTGAAATCTAAAATTTTTCCCTACCGGTTCTGTGGGCGTGGCTTGGTGGGCATGGCAGGGGAAGGATACTGCAAAATCTCCATTCCCACCACGCTCCAGCGGAAGGATATTGCAAAATCTCCATTCCCTCACCACTCTGGGGCCAGCCAGAGGTGGAATTTGCCGGTTCTCTGAACTACTCAAAATTTCTGCTACTGGTTCTCCAGAACCTGTTAGGACCTGCTGAAACCCACCTCTGGATCTAATGTAGTTTTTCCAAATAAGGTATCCATCCTGTGTGATGGGACTGCAATTCCCAGGATTCTCACCCAGCTTCCAAGCTGCCCTGGGAATTCTGGGAGATGCAGTCCTGACATACCCGAAGAAGAAATATTTAGAACAACTGGTGTTAATACAAGTGTTTAATGCAGCGTTGGCTGAGTTCACATACGATGCTCAACTATGTCTTGTTTCAATTGGCTTTTGAAGAAGCTACAGTGGCATGGCAAAAAAAAAAAAAAAAGTCCCAGGGTTTGAAAATCAATACACTCACCACATTATGGCTTGGCACAACACAGTAGGCATCCCCATTCAACAAATACTTTTTATATGTTTGTGAGCTGCTGGATAATTCATGAAGGGGGAAATTCCTTGGTTAAATCAGAACGATTGGGAATTGGTCATGCTAAATGTGTGGGACTTAAATTTTGGGAATCCTTCATCAAATCTTCGGTATAACAAAGTCCACTTTAGCTGCGGCTACGCAATAGCTGAGGACTTAAGTGTTGTTTTTACATAACGAAACTGCATTTTTTAAATAGCAAAATAGGTCTGTCAAAAAGACCACAGAAAAATGGTTTTGTGATTTTTTTTTCTTTCATCCAGCAATGGTCTCTTCAACTAGAAATGAACGTTGTACAAACTGCAGGCCCAAATGAATGAAAAAGTGATGAAATTATTTATTTATTTATTTATTTATTTAATTAATTAATTAATTAATTAGATTTTTATACCGCCCTTCTCCCACAGGACTCAGGGCAGTGAACAGCCAAGAATAAAAACATCACATACAAAATTTAAAATTTTAAAAAGAATTAAACAAAATTTTGGCCCAAAAGTTTAAAACACCCCAACTAAAATCCATTTACAATTAAAAATATCTAAAGGGGGGGGGGGTTAAGCCAGCCCGGCTTGATGAAATAAGAAAGTTTTAAGGGCACGGCGAAAAGCACGGAGATCTGGGATCCTACGTATGCTTGACTCTGTATACTCCAAGTCAATGCTTGACTTGGAGTAGCCCACATATTCACAAGCCGAAGAAAAGCTCCTTTTCAGATCTGCGTTGCGACAAAATGCAGAGAAATAAAGCAGGCGTCTGTGCGGCTCGCTCTCCTGAGAAACTGCTTTTCTTAAAACGTCCATCAAGCCAGGGCTGACTTTTTCTAGAATTGCAAACATCTCTATTTTCATAATGTGCGTAGATGGTGACAAGCTGACCTACCATGCCTGGCCGTTTCCCCATGCGATAAAGTTGCTAGGGCTCTGTTGTGCCATTAGTCGCTCTTGAGAAAGTCTTTTCCCAAGTTTTGCCTGTTTAATGACGTTGCAACTTCTCCTTTGCTTCCTTCCAAAGACAAGACGTGCTTCAACCCCCTCTTCAATTACGAGGACATGCAGGAAATTACACAACATTTTGCAGTCTGCCACGTGGATGCCCCCGGACAGCAAGACGGAGCGCCTTCCTTCCCGCCTGGGTTAGTGGCTCCTAACTAAATCTGTGGATTTTAATATGGAGGTTTTAGCCCAGTGGTGAAATCCAATTTTTTTACTACTGGTTCTGTTGGCGTGGCTTGGTGGGTGTGGTGTGGCTTGGTGGGCGTGGCTTGTGGGTGTGGCAGGGGAAGGATACTGCAAAATCTCCATTCCCACCCCACTCCAAGGGAAGGATATTGCAAAATCTCCATTCCCACCCCATTCTGGGGCCAGCCAGAGGTGGTATTTGCTAGTTCTCCGAACTGCTCAAAATTTCCGCTACTGGTTCTCCAGAACCTGCTGGATTTCACCCTTGTTTTAGCCTCAGTTCCAAAGCGATTCATGTGGGAAAGGGGAGAAATTCTGCTGGCCAGGTTTTTTTCTTGTTGTTTCTGAAGCATATTTTTAATTTCCTAATCCAATTTATTTCTTCTTCGGGAAAATAGATATTGATTTACAAATGGTGCAACTAAGCTTGTAGTATAAGTAGTTCTTGATTTACAACCATTTGTTAGGGGACCATTTTAAATTAAAACAGCAGTAAAAAAATAACTTATAACTAGTTTTCACACTTAGAAGCGTTGCAGCATCCCCATGGTCACATAATTTACATTCAGATGCTTGACAACTGACTCCCATGTATGATGGGTGCAGTGTCCCAAGGTCATGTGATCCCCTTTTTCAACCTTCTGACAAACAAAGACAATGAGGAAACCAAATTCACTTAACAACCATCTTTCTATTTTGAGAACTGCAGTAATTCACTTAATAAATGTGGTGAGAAAAGTCTTAAAATTCACTTTACAAATTTCTCACTTAGCAACATAGATTTTGGGCTCAATTGTCATAAATCGAGGGCTACCTGTAGTGTGTGTGTGTGTGTGTGTGTGTGTGTGGGTGTGTATGTAGGCATGCCATTGTCAGGGTTCCAGGTAACGCCCCCAACGAAAGAAGACTCCGAGGCTAGAAGTTCCTCAAAGTTCCATTTTATTAGCGATGTCATATTGGCGCATCTGGGAAAACCCGAATCTGAAAGCTTCCAGGTTTTCCCCACCCAAAGGAAAGTCCAAGTCCCTTCCCACTGTATCCACATGTCCATCACATGGTGCAATCAATGCACTGTCCCAACTGGAGATGCCTCCCAGCCACACCACTCCAGGTGCAGGGCAAGATGTCCTTGACTCTCTGAGAAAGGAATGTTATTATGACTATATATCACCCATGGTCCATACAATCCCCCCTCCCAGTTTCCCACCGCACTAAATGTGGCATGCCTGAAGTTCCAATGCAAAGATGGCTTCCAGGCCTGACAGACACCCTTTATAAGGGATTTGTAGTGTGCCATGATTTCCCTCACCCCACTTATCTTTCCTCAAGGCTAAGCAAACCCTAGTTCTTCAAACTCTCTTTATTGATATGAATTGATACTGCTTGGTTTGTTCTTGATGCCCTCCTTTCTCCAAATCCTCCTTAAGTGAGGAGTCAGGTCTGAAGTGATCAACCCAGAATGAAGTAGAACAACTACTTGCCATGTTTTGGAAAACGAGTTACATCTTTCTAACATTTGTTTTATAGGTACATGTATCCTTCCATGGATCAGCTGTCTGACATGCTTCCTGGAGTTCTAAAACAATTTGGGTGAGTAAAATAGAATACCTCAGGTTTTTCCAATCAAGCTTCAGAGAAACCATTTTCCTATTCAGCATCCCCCAAACAGAAAATGGTCACATATCTGTCTTGTTCTCTCTGGTGGTTATTAGAACTGAAGAGGTTTTAGAATCCATTGTACTTTGGAGCAGAAGGGGTTGAAGGACTCCGCATCTCTCTCATTGGGCTGGTTAATTGGAAGAAGAAAACTTTCACATCTGATGGCCGTAGTAGCAGTAGATGGAATAGAATAGAATAGAATAACAGAGTTGGAAGGGACCTTGGAGGTCTTCTAGTCCAACCCCCTGCTTAGGCAGGAAACTCTACACTACTTCAGACAAATGGTTATCCAACATCTTCTTAAAAACTTCCAGTGTTGGAGCATTCACAACTTCTGGAGGCAAGTTTTTCCATTGATTAATTGTTCTAACTGTCAGGAAATTTCTCCTTAGTTCTAGGTTGCTTCTCTCCTTGATTAGTTTCCACCCATTGCTTCTTGTCCTGCCCTCAGGTGCTTTGGAGAATAGCTTGACTCCCTCTTCTTTGTGGCAACCCCTGAGATATTGGAACATTGCTATCATGTCTCCCCTAGTCCTTCTTTTCATTAAACTAGACATACCCAGTTCCTGCAACCGTTCTTCATATGTTTTATGTTTAGATGGGTTGAACGTTCTTTTAAAAGCAGATTGCTCTGCCACCATCCCCAAAATATATTTTATTCTGATACAATTCCACTGGCAGAGAAATAATTAAATTCACTCCCTCTGAATTGTGTGTGGTTGGTTTCTGAATTAAAAGTGTTGACTGGTTATTAAGCAATATGTTTAATTTAAAATTTCAATATAAGGAAAACTCAGTTTTATTTCACTGTTTGCTGTACTGCTCAGCAGCCTTCTCTCTGCATCTAGTTGAATGGTGCAGAATCTGTTCTTTTATGAAGAAGCCTAAAACTCGCAGAGCTAATCTTTAAACTAGTCGATATGATTAGAGCAAATATTTGTGCACGGGAGCTAAGACTAAACTATTTACCCTGACATATCTAGAGCACAAGGTCAAATCTTAAATCTTCATGCCATCTTTAAGGGCTTGTGCTGTGACAATTTTTGTTTGCTTTTTTGTGGAGGGAATGGAAATAGTTGGGATGGAGATACCTTGTCCAAATGACCTCCATTCTGTTCTCAATGGACATGGAACAATATGCTGAATGCATGTTGAATATGAAATAGAATATCCAGAACTGGAAGGCATTAGAAACCAATACATGACTTCACCTTCCTTTTTTTAATATATATATAAAATTTTGTTTCTAACTTGTTGGGTTTTGTTTTTTTGTTTTTTTAGATTGAAAAGTGTGATCGGAATGGGGACTGGAGCTGGGGCCTACATTTTGACCCGATTTGCTGTAAGTTGGGAATAGGGGTCATTTGCTTCGCTTCTTAGTTGCACATTTTGTAAAACTATTATAAACTTGAGTACTACACTGTTTCCAGCTTCACATCTTCTGATCTGCCTAAACTTAACTTGATAGCAGACATCCAGTATCAAAGAAACAAAAATCAAAATGTGACGTAACTTCTTCCTCACCAAATAATGGCTGAGATTTGAGCAGCCAAAATACAGAGTGGAGATATTTCACAATATTTCTGTAGGAGATGACCAGGGCTAAGCCTGAGGAAGGGGTCAAATGTGTCATTGGTCTCGAGTCCCTTCACGCCCACGAGAGATCTAAACTCAGCCCACCTTGAATTCCATTGATTCTTACCTTCCTCCAATTTGCTTTGACTGTTAGTAGTTCAGAGCTACTAAGATACAGAGCTTTAGCATACAATAAAACAGCATATTCATCTGAACTGCCTAGACTCCTGATTTTCCTGCACTTGACAATTTCTCATATATTCCCAACCGCAACAGAAGAATCCAATTTGTCGTCATTCAGGTGACAATACTGCTCTGACATGCATGATTCCTGAAACAGACTTTCTGCACATGGCATGGTTTTTCCCCTGGAAGACAGTAAAATTAATTTTAATTTAAATAAAATGGTCACTGGGTGTGAGTTGGGCAGCCATATATCTATTTAATAAATAAATGTCTACTTCCAACAGATCTTCAGAAAGATGATATGGGAAGGATTGTTTTTCTTTTCCCAAATGATGGGGAAAGTCCTCAAACCCCCCCCCCAATTTTTACCTCAGACCCCCCCATCATATCTGGTTGTTTGCTCATAATTCCTCTTCAATCTGCAGCTTAACTACCCTGATATGGTGGAAGGACTCGTTCTTATCAACGTCAATCCATGCGCCGAAGGGTGGATGGACTGGGCCGCAACCAAGGTAAAGACGTCATTTGTGTAAACTTACCTTAAAACAGATCAAGATGTGCTTAAAACCGCAGGGATTACAGAAATAAACTTTGGATTTATTTGGGACTTAGAAGCTAAGCTATTGTTGTTTTTTAATGTTTCTTCATTCTTTGAAGCTATAGAGTGAGGGAACTCATAAAATATAAGAGTTCAGTGTATCCTTTCAGGACTATATACATTTAATGGCAGAAGAAAACACACTTCTTGACTTACGACCACAGTTGAGCCCAAAATTACTGTTGTTAAGTGAGACATTAGTTAAGAGAGCTTTGCCCCATTTTACGACTTTTCTTGACACCGTTGTTAAGTGAATCACTGCAGTGGATAAGTTAAGTTGGATAAAAAAAGATGGCCTCCAAGGGCTGACATTAGTAACCTGGTTGTTAAGTGAATCTGGCTTCCCTACTGACTTTGTTTGTCAGAGGGTCGCAAAAGGGGATCACATGACCCTGGAAACACAGCAACGGTCATAAATATGAACCAATTGCCAAGCATCTGAATTTTGATCCTGGAGATGCTGCATACATCATTAACTATGAAAAAAACGGTCATAAGTGACATTTTTCAGTACCATTGTAACTAAACGGTCACTAAACGAACTGTTGTAAGTCAAGGGCTACCTGTATATAATTGAACGTCAGTGTGGTAACATGACTGAGTTAATGGTACATGATCCCTGGAGTATTTGAATTATCCTAAAATGTACTTCTTCGTTTGTTTGTTTTTAAATGTCTAGATTTCTGGATGGGCTCATGCTTTACCAGACATGGTCATTTCACATCTTTTTGGCAAGGTAAGCCTCCTTCTTAAATAATCATATTAAAATGTACAGCTCAACCTTCATCTTACTTGGGATACGAAGGATTGATTGTAGCCAAGGGATGCCATCTGTTCCAGCGGTCACCAACTGGTGGTCCGTGGACCACTGGTGGTCCGCAAGAAAATTTTGGTGGTCTGCAGAAAAATTATTTGCATTTTTTATTTTGCACTAAATCAGGGGTCCTCAAACTACGGCCCCTGGGACAGATACGTGCAATGAACGCTTGTGTTGCTGCAGAGAGTCTCCCCCTCTGGGGTCTTCCTGTGTGGGTTGGAGGGGGGCAGAAATTCTGACTTGGGGTCTGCTTCAGCCTCCTGGTGTGGGGCTTTGGGCAAAGGCTAGAAGGAAGTGCCACTGGTGGCAAAGAGCTGGAGGGCCTTGTTCCAGTGGGACTGCATCATGGCCTGGAACTGACTGACCATCTCAGCCCGCTGAGCCTCCAGGCACTGGTACCTGGCCTTGCACTTCCGCAGGTCTTCTCTCTGCTTGGAAAGCCTATGCTCATAGTCCTCAGTGAGGTGCTTCTGCTGAGCCTCCTTCTCGGCCAGATCTAATTTGAACTGAGCCAGCTGTTTTGTCAACTCTTTCTCATGGTGGCTGCTTAGCTCCAACAACTGCTTCCTGTTGGGGCCCTAAAGAGCCCGGGCAGGCAGGCGAGGAGTGGCTGGGAGGGGAGGGGCGAGTACAGGCCGGCGAGGCACCCCTCAACGCAAGTGACATTGAGTTGGCCACGCCCACCCAGTCACATGCCCATCTAGCCACACCCACCCAGCTGGTCATTAGGCAGATATTAGTTGTCCGTGGGATTTAAAATTATGAATTTAGTGGTCCCTGAGGTCTGAAAGGTTGGTGACCCCTGATCTATACAATTGAACAACTATTTTACATTTTCCTGTTATTTTTTTTTTAATCCTGCTTGATTAGGCCCAATCTCTTTAAAAGTTAGGATAGTTACGTGTTGGGATTGTTCTCATGTTTTGAACATTTGTATATTCACAAACGGGCCATCCTAAAGTTACAATTACTGATAGTATAACAGAATAACGGAGTTGGAAGGGTCCTTGGAGACCACCTAGTCCAACCCCCTGCTGAAGCAGGAACCCCATATCATTTCAGACAAATGGTAGATACGATAAATGATAAAAGAGAATATTTGCAGCTTAAAGTTGAACTGTGGGGTCCTGGATGCTCTCTGAACTTAGTTGTTTGCTTCCAACATTTCATTACCCAACTAGCTAACATCATCAGTGCTAGAAGGGAGCAGGGTTTGCTCTTCGTTTGCCATGCCAGTATTAGCGCATTGTAGTTCCTCGATTAGGCTCTTGTTGCAAGTTCATCTCTAACCTTGTACACATGCTTACGTGACCTTGTAATATGACATAGTTCACACTTTCCATTCATGAACAAATCGGCAAGCGCTCTTATTTAAGCTTGCAAAAACATCCTGCTAAGTCATTGTTGCTCTTTCCAGATGTTCTCCCTCTTCCTGGTCTTAACTGATATTTGATGAGAATGTTTCTTAAAATCTAGGATGAGATTCACAGCAGCCACGACTTGATCCATACTTACCGCCAGCACATCATCAATGACATGAACCAAAACAATCTCCATCTGTTTGTCAACTCTTACAACAGGTAATACACCACTGAACTTTTCAGAACACATAGGAAAATATTTGTTGCTGCTATTCAGGGGGAGAATCAGTAACAGGATCTGAGATTGTTTTGGAGATCTTGCTACCCAGCTCTGATGAGAAGCTTAACTTCTAAGCTTGGGATTCCCATTGACATTTAAACTTGTCAATGAAAACTCCTTGAAGGAAGGATTCCAGAGAGAGGGACAAAGAGAGAGCATATTCAGACTTAAGAATGATACATCTGATGATATTTGTTCTCTTCTGTTGAGTGGTCTGAGCATTGTGTTTTTAATCTTTTGGAACAACACTGAATTCAGTTAGTACTTGACCTACAACCACAACTGAGCACCAAAGTTTTTGTTGCTAACTGAGACATCTGTTAAGTGAGTTTTGCCACATTTTATGAACTTTCTTGCCACAGTTGTTAAATGAATCAGTTGTTAAGTTAGTAACATGTTTGTTAAGTGAATCTGGTTTCTCCGTTGAGTTTGCTTGTCGGAAGGTCACAATGACCCCGGGACATGGCGACCGTCATAAATACGAAACAGTTGCCAACTATGTGAATTTTTATCATGTGACCACGGGGATGCTGCAACAGTCACAAGTATGAAAAACAGCCATAAGTCCCTTTTTTCAATGCCATTGTAATTTCGAATGGCACTAAACTAACTGATCCTGGGTAGAGGCAGATATTTCTCTCTCTGGGCACACTGAAAATATATCTCTGCTGAACAAAACTCTGCATTGGTGACAGGAAGAGCATCCGGCCATTAAACACTCTGCTAGCTCCTTTCAGTTGCCCAGACTCCACCCCCGCAAGGGATTATGGGGTCGTTAAATAAAGATAATGACTAAAATGAAGTGCTGGAAGTCAAGAACTACCTGTACTCAGAATTTAATTGAAAGCAGGAACGCCAGATTAGCAGTCCCTCTCGACTTGTTTAGTTGGGAGTACACATTAGTCACAAGTCTCATATTGATAGCTTCTTCCTACCTTTTATGGGGAAATGGGCTTTAAAAGTTGCACATGTAATAACTTCTCACAATTGTTTCCTGTTTGTTTTGCAGCCGAAGAGATCTAGACATTGAGCGTCCAGTTCCAGGAGTAAACGTGGTTACTCTACAGTAAGTGTTTGTCACAACCAGCCTTTTAATGTTGGGTTCAAAAAAAGGGGGCATAGCGTTTTCTTGGCCCTCTTTCTGGAAATGGTAAAAATCCTGGTGATAACAACACATTGCAAAACACACAAAGGGGATTCTGGCTCACTAAAACATGGTTTAACAACCCTAGCTAATGTAGGCTTGATCAGAAGCTGATGGTTGATCTTCCCAGCTGATAAGGCCAATGATAAGAACATGTACTAGCAATAGCATTTAGACTTATATACCACTTTACAGTGCTTTACAGCCCTCTCTAAGCGGTTTACAGAGTCAGCATCTTGCCCCCAACAATCTGGGTCCTCCGTTTACCCACCTCAGAAGGATGGAAGGCGGAGTCAACCTTGAGCCTGGTGAGATTCAAACTGCCAAATTGTGGGCAGCCTGCAGTCAGCAGAAGTAGCTTGCAGTACCGCATTCTAACCACTGTGCCACCGTGGCTCATAGTGGAGTCTACAATGTGGAAAGATTGCCTGATTCCTTATTGGGGTCAGCCTGCAGTCTGCATTGTGGCCTTACTGAAGCTTTGATGAAGATTATAACCCTCAGTCTCAGTTTCTACTTTGGAGCGTACAAATTTAAGAAATGAATAGTGGTCTACCTTATCACAAGGTGCTCTTGCGCCAGTCACTGTCTCTCAGCCCTAGGAAGGAAGGTTGGTTTGCAATGGCAAACCATTCCTGAAAAACTTTGCCCAGAAAACTGCAGGGACTGGTCCAAGCAATCACCAGGAATTAACACTGACTCTAATCATCATCATCTTCATCCCTTGCGAGGTGGAGTCTGGGCAACTGAATGGAGCTAGCAGAGTGTTTTAATGGCCGGATGCCCTTCCTGTCGCCAATGCGGAGTTTTGTTCAGCAGATATATTCTCAGTGTGCCCAGGGAGAAAAATCTCTGCCTCTACCTAGGATCGAACTTACAGCCTCCTGATTGTGAGGCGAGAGCTCCACCTCTAGGCCACTGTAAGGCACCCGAAAAAACAAAAACAATAAATGGTAGAAGCCAAGAATGAGTGATAGCAGAAGAAAACTCATTCTTAAATAGAAATGAGAGCAAGGGAGCTCAACCACGCGGTCCCTGAGACTAAATTAGTTTTCCAACCATACATCCAATTTTGCTATGGTGCAAATGAAAAGATTCAGCCTGTCATGGCAGCAACAAAGGAGGAAGGCAATAAGAACTGTTCCAATGATCCAAGCATTCATTTTATATTGTTATTTATTTATATCATTTGAGCGAAAAAGTGCAGGCGTTGAAGCCAGCACAATCATCGCTTTTGCAATCCCCTTTTATGTATTTGGGGGATAGAAAAAAAAAATCGAGCATTACTCATATTATCCTAAACAAACTTTGATCCTACTTATAATGACCGTAATAATTTGGCTGTGTTTAGGTTTTTACGAAATTACGAAAGGGTTCATTTTTCTCAACAAGGCAACACCTTGAGTTTGATTTGGCCAAACAACAATATCGATCTTTCTCTGATACGGTTTAAAGAAGTGCAAAGCCACTGACCCTTACTTCAATGGTTTGCTTTCAGGTGCCCTTCACTGTTGGTGGTTGGTGACAGCTCTCCTGCAGTTGACGCTGTGGTAAGTATATAATAGCAAAGGCAGGAAATTACATTCATACGTATGTATGTACCATTTCCCCCCGAAAATAAGACCCTGTTTTTCAGGGATGTCTTATTATTTTGGGGCGCATGGAGCAAGACGGGGCTCCTCTTGCCGTCTTACCTGATTTCCAGCTCTGTCTCCCTAACCAGAGGAAATGGCGGGGACCGGCTGCACATGCGTTTAAATATTTTCAGGGAGGGCTTATTTTCGGGGGGGGCTTATTTTAGCGCATGCGCTCAGGAGCCTGAGTGGTGTAGGAGGCTAATGCCTCCTATTAAGGCAGCATTTAACATCCAGCTGCCTGCAATTACTGTGAGTTCAATTCTCCCCAGGCTCAAGGTCGACTCAGCCTTCCATCCTTTCTAAGGTGGGTAAAATGAGGACCCGGTTTGTGGGGGCAATAAGCTGACTTTGTATAAAATATACAAAAGTATGACGGCTATTGCTTAACGCATTGTAAGCCGCCCTGAGTCTCCGGAGAAGGGCGGCATATAAAAATAAATAAATTTTAAAAAGCCCGATTGGGCTTATTATCAGGGGATGTCTTATTTTAGGGGAAACAGGTTACCTACATACATACATACCTGTGTTTCCCCAAAAATAAGACCCTGTCTTCTTATTATTTTTTTTGCCACCAAAAAAGGCGCCAGGTCTTATTTTCAGGGAGAGATGTCATCCATCCTTTTCGCTGTCAGAGGCCTTCAGGAACTTTTTCTGCAGCCGGCAAGGCTTTCCTGAAGGTCTCTGCAGTCAATAACAAAGCTCCGGATTTTTCCTGAGCTCTGTTATCAGCTGCAGAGGCCTTCAGGAAAGGCTTTCCGGCTGCAGAAGAAATGGGCCGGCAAGGCAAGTGTCAGGATGTGCGAGGCCTGCCTGCAACTGTCCGAAGGTAACTAGCTTAATTTTTACCTGTGCACCCTGGGGTGGGTGGAGTCTTAATTAGGGCTTATTTTGGGGATATGGCTTAATATCAGGCGTACATGTAAAAACCAAGCTAGGACTTATTTTTGGTAGGTTGTATTTTCGGGGAAATAGTACATACATACATACATACCTTCGGTTTTCTTCTGAGCAGGCAACCTCATTCAGTATTTCTCTTTAAGGATCACGACCTGTTTATTTTAACTTCTGCCCTCCAGGATTTGAAATAATGTCCCTAACAGTCCATTGAAGTTACTTGAAAATTGGAGGGGAAATTAAGTTTGGGAAATGGCAGTTTATCTAGGACTAATAGCCCAAGCCTAATATTGCATCAGTTCCTAAGGCTCACATATAAATTATGAAATAGAGCTCTCCTGGATTCAAGATAGTTCGGTCCTGTGAGTTTATTGCCATCTCATCTTTCTAAGTTTCTGAGATAAGCTAGAGTAGCCATCACAGGCTGGTACCTTGGAAATAATCCCAACCATTGTATGCCTGACCCGTTTGGGTCAAATCAGATAAGATTGAAGAGTAATGATTTAGTTGAAGTTACTCATTAAGCTTCATAGTTAAGTGAGGGACTGAACAGGTTTGTCTGTTCCTGGACTAAGTTCCTGGACTAAGTATGAGCTGTGAGAAGTGAGAACTTCTTACAACACTGTTGGGGATATTGTGATGAAGTAGCCAAAGCGTGGGAAGCAGTGGTGAAATTCAAAATTTTTTACTACCGGTTCTGAGAGTGTGGCTTGGTGGGCGTGGCTTACTGGGCATGGTAGGGGAAGGATACTGCAAAATCTCCATTCCCACCCCACTCCTGGGGGAAGGATACTGCAAAATCCCCATTTCCTCCCCACTCCTGCAGGAAGGATATTGCAAAATCTCCATTCCCACCCCACTCCAGGGGAAGGATACTGCAAAATTCCCACCCTACTCCTGGGGGAAGGATATTGCAAAATCCCCATTCCCACCCCACTCTGGGGCCAGCCAGAGGTGGCATTCTCTGAACTACTCAAAATTTCCGCTACCGGTTCTCCAGAACCTGTCAGAACCTGCTGGATTTCATCCCTGGTTGGAAGGGATATGCAAGAAACAGATCTCAGAGACAAGTTACGTGTGAAGTATTTATGTCGTTTCAAATGGAGGACTCAAAAAAAATAAATAAATAGATCCAGTTCATTACCAGAATCGTTAACACTTAAATCACAGCCTTCTCTTCTTGCATCACATTTTCAGTGAAAAATTACTTACTAGGCAATTTAGTTCTTACAGGAATTAAAAGCAGTACCTATAATCAACAACGAGAGTTTCTCCCGCAATCTAAATAATAGCATAGGTGTGGAAGCTGGTCATTTGAAGATCAATTCCAGCCGTCTGTTCAAGCAGGAATCAAAATGAAAGCATCCTGACAGCTGTTGGGAGACAAGGAGAGGGATTAAATTCCTTCCGTAGTTGACCGTCTTGAAACCTGAGGTAGATAGATAACTTGTGGTCTTCAGGCTACATGGAATTCAAGGCATAATTTCAGGTCCTGTTTTTGAATATCAGCAAAGGGGGAATGAATGGGTGCTGCTGCCAACTTTGAACTTTTGCATCCCCAAGATAGATTTGTGAAAAACAGGAAAACAGAATTCCCCTTCCTGCCTGTTAAGGAACAGTCAGGGCATCAGAAAAAAATAATGGAATGTCAAGCGATGCTTTTTAGCACCCAGAATTTCACTAGCAACTTCCTGAAATCCTACACAGGTAGTTCCTGACTTACGACCATAATAGAGATCGGAAAATTCATTGTTAAGAGGTGCGGTCATTAAGTGAGACCCCACAGGATCGCCCATTGCTACCTCCTTCTGGCTTCCCCATTGATTTTGCTTGTTTGGAAGCTGGCTGAGGTGGCCACAAGTGGTTACCACGTGACCTCAGGCCATTGCAACTGTGGTAAATGTGTGTTAGTTGCCAAGCACCCAAAATCATAATTGTCACCGTGGGGGCAACTGCAGTAGTCATCGATGCGAGGACTGGTTGTAAGTCACTTTTTCCAACACCGTTGTAACATCAAAAGACCCCAAAAGAATGTCTGTAAGTTGGAGTCTACTTGTAATGGAATCCTTTCATGAGGTGAAGATAAGTATGGGACTTCTCCTTAAAGCAAGTAGGCCTGGACGCTCTAAAAACTGCATAAAATGGGCTTTTCTTGAAAATGTGATGTGAAAGCTCAGCTTTTCTCTCCTTCTGTCTCTTCCCTTTCCTCACAGGTGGACTGCAATGCGAAGCTTGACCCAACAAAGACCACACTTTTAAAGGTAACCACCTCTGGCCCAAAGCAGAGCTCTTGGGATTGATGTAGAGCAGAGGTCTTCAAACTTGGCAGCTTTAAGACTTGTGGACTTCAACTCCAGAATTCTGGGAGTTGAAGTCCACAAGTCTTAAGGCTGCCAAATTTGGGGACCCCTGATATAGAGAGTTCTGATTTTTGTGAAAAGGACTATTTATTTATTTATTTATTTATTTATTTATTTATTTATTTATTTATTTATTTATTTATTTATTTATTTGTTTGTTTGTTTGTTTATTTGTTTATTTGTTTATTTATTTATTTGTTTGTTTGTTTATTTATTTATTTATTTATTTATTTAATTTGTCGAACATCTACTAGATAACAGGTATAAGTATAAACGTGGACATGAACTTAGGAATGAGTACAAGTAAATGGGGACAGTAGGACTGGGATGGTAGGCACGATGGTGCGCTTATGCACGCCCCCCTTACGGACCTCTTAGGAATGGGGTGAGGTCTACGGTAGACAATTTAAGGTTAAAGTTATGGTTTGGGGAAGTAACCACAGAGTCAGGTAGTGCATTCCAGGTTCTGTTACTGAAGTCGTATTTCCTGCAATCGAGTTTGGAGCAGTTTACCTTGAGTTTGTATTTATTGTTTGCCCGTGTATTATTGCAGTTGAAGCTGAAGTAGTCATTGACAGGTAGGACATTGTAGCGGACAATTTTGTGTACTACACTTAGGTCAGACCGTAGGCGGCGTAATTCTAGGTTTTCCAATCCCAAAATTTCAAGCCTGGTTGCATAAGGTATTCTGTTGTGAACAGAGGAGTGGAGTACTAGAGACTAGAGGAAGGGTGTCCAACCTTGGCCGCTTCAAGACCTGTGGATGTCAACTTTCAGAATTCATGGCTGGCTGGAGAATTCTGGGAGTTGAAGTGGCCAAAGTTGGACACCCCTGGACTACAGAGTGTTTTGATCCAGGTGTTAGTAGTTAAAGCAGTGCAACTGGCTGAGAGATACACTACACTAAGCAAATAGTAGTGAAATCAAAGAGAGAGGTAGGAAGCTGAAGGCTTAGAAGTATGGAAGTCACTCTTCCTTCTTGACTGATAAAAATTACCAGCCTATATTTTTGCACAAGCATTAGGGCTCTTAAATGTAATTAGGGGTCAGTAGATAATACTACTATGTTTAGAAATTCATCCCATAATAGATTTTAATCCTGCTCGGAGGGACGTGTGCAGCCTCACGTGGTAAACCTGCATCATTTCATTGACCCAGGTCAAGCTTAATACAGTAAACACTTAAGAAGCTTCTAGGGTTGAGAAGTTTCTTCAGGCATTATGAGCGCTGCCAGATTTTTCTGGAACTCAAAGCCTTTGTTCACATCCCTCGTTCTATATTTAGTCTTTGAGGGGAGTGTCATTTCATACTGGTGATGAAGGGGTGCCGTTTGGAGCAGAATTATAATTTTTTCCTATATTCCTGATCTGGCAAGGTGGACAGAACAATGATCAATTGGACGGAAAATTCTTTCAAATTTTTCCCACCCATGCAAACGTCTGTGGAAATTCTCAGTCATCCAGGTCATGGTTGTCCCAAAGGGGCTTTTTCAAGAGGCCACTGGACTTCCTTGGTTTTTCTTTGAAGACAGAGCTGAAGAAGCTTCTTGGATGAGAAGCGAAACGTCTTCAAAGAAAAAACCAGAAAGTCCAGTGGCCTCTCGAAAAAGCACCTTTGAGACACCCATGCAAATGGTGGAAAGAGAATTCTTTCTGTCTAGTTTGGAAGTTGGGCCATGAGTCAAAACAGGCCGATGGATTCAAAGGATGGTAGAACCTGAGTTTTCAGTTCTGTTTTGGACATTTGATGACAGCCGAGTCAACAATTGGTTGTCCTGAATTTTCCCTCAAACCGTAGAGACACCTCAAAGGTCGTAATTCCGAACAAGAATTGCATTTCGAATCCAGTTATTAATTTAGTTAGTGTATGCCTTTTCAGCTAGTAACTTGCCTTCTCACAAAGAGATGGTAACTAAATCAAAAAGAGAAAAGGGATATTCATTCAGCAGAATTGTGGTAGACAGTAGCCTTCCTAATTTAGTGTCCACCAGTACAGATGTATTTGCTTGTGAATTCCCAAACAGCTGAGTAGAATTCTGTGAGTTGAACATATCAACATATCTGAAGGACTGATGTGAAGGATCAACTTCTGGACATTATGAGCTAGTGGTCACCATGAAGAAAAAATGGATTTTTTAAGACTTCCTAACTTTCACTACTAATTATTCCATTTAGAAAATAAGCGTCTTCTCTACCCTTTTACCAACAGACATTAGGAAATCTGCAGCTGAAATGGAATATTACTTTAAAAACCTCCTTTAAAATCCTTCTGAACACACTTCTAAGTGAGCATTATATCCAGAAATCTTATTTTTTTTTTGCTTCTCACAGTCCAGTGATAATATCCATTCTTCCCATATATATGATTGTAGAGTCAAGCTTTGAATTGTGAGTCAGGGCAAGTAAGGTGGTATTGTTGAGAGAGTAGGGTTTTTCTTTTTCTTTTAAATTAAAACATTATTATTATTATTTTCTTTTGCAGATGGCTGACTGTGGTGGCCTTCCTCAAGTTTCCCAGGTGAGAATTGATTTTGGGCAACAATAGATAATGAGTACTGAGGAGAATTTCACAAGATTTTGGTTTATTGCAAACTGGGTCCATTTTTTTTTTTAATTTGATTTATATGCCGCCCTTCTCCGGAGACTCAGGGCGGCTTACAATGCGTTAAGCAATAGCCTTCATACTTTTGTATATTTATACAAAGTCAGCTTATTGCCCCCACAAACTGGGTCCTCATTTCACCTACCTTAGAAAGGATAGAAGGCTGAGTCAACCTTGAGCCTGGCGAGATTCGAACCTGCAGTAATTGCAGGCATCTGGTCTTAATAACCAGCTTAATAACAGGGTGCCTTAGACCACTGTACTACCAAGGCTCTTTATAAATATATTTATTTATATTTATAAATAATATAATATATATTTATAAATATATTTATTTATATTTACCATCTGTGATGGAAAGCAAAACTCCCTCAGTAGAATTGAGAGTCATTTTGGGGTAGGGGTTACGAGACCTAGTTAGAAAGCAGGAGGCTGAATTCAAGTCCTGCCATAGCCATGAAAGCTGCCTGGGTGACTTTGGGCCAGTCACTTTCTTCTCAGTCACCTCACAGAGTTGTTATGAGGAAAATTAGAAGGCTACATTGGATATATTTATTGCCTTGAGATATTTGTAAAAATAATAACGGTTGGAAGTAAATAAATAGCCAACTAACTAACCAGACTCGGTAATGTGTAACCGTACCAAGGTGACTTCATCATAGGTTTTGGTGTTGAGTTGCAGCGATATCTAAGCTGGCAGTTCTTCCACAGCTCTAAACGTATTCAGTGGATCTGAGGTCTTCTGTATTGACTGCTCTTTGTCCAACCTCCTTTTTTTTTTGGAAATATTTAATAACAGGTAATTATTGCATTCACATGCTACGTTTCCTTTTTACAGCCTGCCAAGCTTGCTGAAGCTTTCAAATACTTCATCCAGGGAATGGGATACAGTAAGTAGTTGTTGGCTTTAAAAAAAAAAATTGGCCAAAGTTTCTGTAGCAGGTGTGTGTCTGTGTGGCTGAAATTGCATTCAGTTGCTTTTGTTCTAGAAGTCCCGATAGATCCGACTGATAGTCTGCTTTGGTCATTGTTGTCTCTGGAGGTTTTGTGAGGGTTTTTTTTCCTCATGTCTTCTTTCTAAATTATTTCCTTAATCGCAAAACACTTCTAATCGGTAGATTTTTGTCTTGGGGTTTCTCTTGTGGTTGTTGAGTAGAAAAACTGCATCAGAGAGCACACAAATAAATCCTATTCTTTGGAGCCTTGGCTGTGGTCTCCAGAGCCTCTCCATATATAATTTTTAATGCGATAAACGTTAACCATTATAAACAAGGGAAATAATTCTGTTAACTATATACGTGTAGCTGAAGGAGTGGCAGAACTGGAGGCGGACAAAGGTGCTTTTTCAGGAGGCAACTGGACTTTTCTTGTTTTTTCTTTGAAGACATTTCTTTTCTCATTGTAGTAGCTGCTTCAGCTCTGACAGGATAGTGGGGAATGGAATGATTTATATTTCTTGCAGATAGCTGGTCATTTGCATCCTTTTAGAGGGTCGTTGAAGCCACTTGGAGGTTTATCAGTATCTTCAGGATCACTGAAACCATTAACATTACTCAGGTGACCCTGAGGACACAGATAAACCTCCAGGTGCTTCAGTGACCCTCTAAAAGGATGCAAATGACCAGCTGTCTACAAGGAATAGAAATCCTTCAATTCTCTACTATCCTGTCAGAGCTGAAGAAGCTTCTTGGATGAGAAGCGAAACGTCTTCAAAAGAAAAAACAAAGTCCAGTTGCCTCCTGAAAAACCACCTTTGGGACAATTACGACCTGGATGACTGAGAATCTCCACAGACTTTTAACTGGGGGTGGAGTTAAAAGAGAGATCAGTCTAAAACTTCTATGTAGCCACAAGCAAACTAAGGCCAACCCCCCCCCCTTCAATTTTTTTGACCTCTATCTAATTCCAAGCAAGTACTAACCATTAGCTGATAAGATTCCTGTCCATGAGTAGTAATAAATCAGATTAATTGGACCTTCACATGTGGACCTGACCTTTGATGCCTCACAATAAGATCAGTTAACAGACAAATAAAGCGATGTATTTCTTATCCTGATCTTACTCACTCTATGATCCGCGGCCTAATTTGGTTCTTGGATCAAAAAACCCCACATGCAACGCGTACACACAGACACATACCCTTTTCTCCATTTTTAAATAATGGTCCTTGCAAATTAGCGTACCTCTCGTAACCGCGAGTTTTCCCTTGACAGTGCCTTCCGCAAGCATGACCAGACTCATGAGGTCCCGCACGGCTTCCGGTTCCAGCGTCACATCCATGGAAGGGAACAGGAGCAGATCCCACACCGGGGAAGGTTCCCGAAGTCGGTCTCACACAGGCGAAGGGAACAGGAGCAGAGCCCAAACTGGGGAGGGTTCCCGGAATCGTGCCGCCGCAGACATCGAGCTGAGTTCTAATTCTGCCAAGACCACTGGACAGTCGAGCCCCAAGTCAATGGAAGTGTCCTGTTAAACGATGCCGCCCTAGTCCAAACCAAGATCAAGCAGCAGCCTCAGGCTGCACATTGCAGTAATTAACCTAAGGGGTTCCCCATAACAAATGGATCTCTCTACCCCTCCCTTCCCCAAATCCATAGGGACCAATAAAACAAACAAATATCTCAGATGCTCTCTTTCCCTAATCAAATGGCTGATCTTTCCAGCTACTCCTAGATGGCTTTAACACTCATCGAGTTATTGATCTAATATATTTCTTTTTTAAGATCCAAGACTGCAACCTATACCAATTGCTTTTTTCGGAAAGCAATTGCCTGAAGCTCGTGGGTTATCTCTGGCTCTCCTTTTACCCAGTTCTAAAAACTAAACAGTATTTTTTTTCCCTCCCCCAATCTGATTTTATGGCTTCATTGTGGAAGAGGAGATGGGGAAAAGAAAGAAAAGAAAACAGTGGGAGATTTTTAAAACTCTTCAGGCCTCCACTCTGACCCATACATTCCTCAACTGGCCTCACGGATAGCACCCAAGCTCTCCATTTGCTACACCACAACATTAAAAAGGGGGTAATTTGATACAACTTGGAGGCAAAACCCCACTGATGAAATCTCTTTCAGGCAGACCTGAGAATTTAGCTGTGGCCCTTTCATGCTGCTTAATCAGACTAGAGTTAAGGGTTCGGGATTCTTAGAAACGCACTACATTTGATCTTAAATTTTGCATTTCGATGGGTGGCCTTTAAGAAGCCGCAGCAATAGATAGTAAAGCTGATCCCTTTACTGTAATGAAACCACCTACCCACTCGCCTCCCCAATATTTTGCTTCCAAAAAATTGGGGGCAGAAGTAAGAAGCATCTCATTCTTAGATTGACTCTAGCAGAAAATTAAGACAGTGGAAATCGTGTATAGTGATTTACCGAGAACTATAAATGTTTGCAAAACGTTGGAGGAAAGAGGCAAGGCTGTAATAGAGATTTAGTTTGATGATTGTAAAAGTAGATTATATTGATTCTACAATTGAAAAGCTACTTTGCCGATATGTCTGCAGCGCTTAACAGGGTGGGAAGCTATGAGCGAGACAGCTCAACAGGTTTCCAGCATAGATGAGAATTCTAGTTTTTATAGGAACATAATTATATCTATTTTTCCACTGGCTTGATCTGTTTGCTACTTCACAAAACTTAATATAGCTAATGAATTTTGGATATTGAGCATATTTGCATCATTTAGCATCTTCAGAGCTGAATATCTGAGGTAGTTCACGAGAACTGATTTCTTTTACCCGAGGTTAATTACCTGGGTTTGCTCTTCTTTTTTTTCTTTTTTCTTTTTTTCTTCTTCAAATGACAACTTCAAAGTTTCCTGGAAAGTTTATAATGAGGAATAGCAGATTGTAATAGAGAAGCTTGACTTGCCTATTTGGGGGGGAAAGTTTATTAATGAATTATTTGTATTTATTTCAAACAAAATAAATTTGTAACTTTGCAGTGTTTGGGTCTTTTTCTGTGTCCAGAAAGGAGGAAGGAGGAGGAAGAATAATTATTTTTATTAAGAATAACTGAATGAGCAGAACTTTTTTTTAAAAAAAACTTTAAAAGCCTTTCTTTCTTTCTCTTTCTTTCTTTCTTTCTTTCTTTCTTTCTTTCTTTCTTTCTCCTTTCTCCCTCTCTTTCTGTCTATCTGTCTTTCTTTTTCCTTCCTCCCTCCCTTTCTGTCTTTCTTTCTTTCTTTCTTTCTCCTTTCTCCCTCTCTTTCTGTCTGTCTGTCTTTCTCCTTTCTCCCTCTCTTTCTGTCTGTCTGTCTCTCTCTCTCTCTCCCTCCCTCCCTCCCTCCCTTAGGTGCTAGGAAAGGTGTGTCTTGATTACAACTAAGCTAGTTTCCAACCGATATCCTTGCAAATCTGGAGGATGACAGCTTACTGAAGGGCCTGTTACAAAAGGATTAAAAAGGAGCTTAGGTACCTATAAATTGGCATTTGAACAACTTGGGAAATGTGAAACTGAAGCATCAATTGGTGACTTGCCAATTCCGAGCACCTGAGGTTAGTGGCGTTGAAGATATGGTCACCCTGTCCACTGATTGGTCTTCGCCACTCGAAAACACGGCCCTTCTGGGGGGAAAACAGAAGGCATTCGTTGTTGACTTTAAAGGCATCTACAACAATCTACAAACTCCTGGGCCGCACATTGGAACTGGTCCATGGCCTGTTGCGAACCAGGCCACACAGCTGCGGGCGACCGAGTGAGCGAAACTTCATCTGCACATCTGATCTAGGTTGCGTGTGAAACTATCCTCTTCCCCCCCCCCCCCCCCCCCCCGTCTGCAGAAAAATTGCCTTCCACGTAACCTCCATGGTGAAAAAAAAAAAAAAAAAGTCGGGGAAACCAGTCTCCCAGAATTCCCAAGCCAGCCTTGCCTTCTTCAAGTGGAAAAAGACCGTTTCTTAGCTATTCAGCAAGGGTGTCAAACTCGATTTCATTGAGGGCTACATCAGGGTTGTGTTTGATCTTGGAGGGGGCATGGCCCGGGCGGGGGGGCCATGGCCAGCTTGATGTCACTCATGTCGGGGGCTCCTGTGGTGGCCTGAGTGCTCTGCCAGCAAAAATGGGCTCCCGAGCTCCGTTTTCGGCTGCAACAATCTCCTGAAACCCTCCGCCAAAGAAAACGGAGTCTCCGTTTTCACTGGCAGAAGGTTGCAGGAGGCCGTTGCAGCCAAAAACGGAGCTCAGGAGCCCATTTTCGCTGGTGGAGGCACCGCAGGCCAGTCCTTTGCTGTTTCTAGGGTGGCCCCATGAGCCAGATCTAAGCACCCCGTGGGCTGGATCTGGCCACCGGGCCTTGAGTTTAGCACCCCTGCTGTTCAGGGAAGTAATGTCCTAGCTTCGGGTGATATGCTTCAGGATCGAGCTGGATCACCCGGTCTGGTAGCGATCTTGGCCGTTGGTTTGGCGATTTGGTAGCGATGGCGGAGCAAAGCTCCACCCACCTGCCCAGGAAGTAATGTTTTTTTTTACCTTCGCATGTGCAGAAGGTTTTGCGCAATGGCAGAAGCTCTGTGCATGCATGTGATGCGTGCGTGCATGCGCAAATGAAGCAAGCAAGTGCGCTGCGCATGTGCTTCCAAACCGGTAAGGAAGGTGAGTAGATTTCACCCCTGCCTAGCATCGCTCCCTCCTTTATGCACAGCTGAGAAATGCAAATTGCAGTTTTTCAGGGATAGAAAGATCCCTTGTTTTCCTCCTGTCGTTTCTCACATGTCTCAGCCCACAGCTAGTTAGCCCAAACACAACAGGCTGGTAACTTTCCATGAGCTTATTTTACAAAGTGAAGTGCCGCTATGAACTGAAGTATCTCAACTAGGTAGGAGAAGGGAAAGGAAAAACGGGTTCAAAAATTTTAAGTATTCCATTAGTTTCTTTGCAAATGCTCAACGGCGGCTTTCTTTATTACAACTTTGCCTGATAGATTGGAAAGCTGATTTTTAAAACTGTGATGTCTCTTTCACGCAGCTGTAGATAACATGCAAAGACAGCCTGCTTTCCAACAATTCTTTCCCAGCGTCACTTCTAAAATCCACAGATTGATCCAAAGGCAGCTTTAAACTACCATGACGAGATGTGTGTGTGTGTGTGTGTGTGTGTGTGTGTGTGTGTGTGTGTATGTAGGTCTTTGGTTATTCAGGTTTTCTCCCGCGTAAAATTGGAAGTGTCTTGGCGACGTTTTGACGAAGTCTCATTCAACATCTTCAGGCTGGTGTTTTCAGCTTCGTGCTTTTAGGAGCAATGTGTGATCGCAGCTGTTTCTTCCTTTTAACTGCCAGCCTGAAGATGACGAATGAGACTTTGTCGAAACGTCGCCAAGACACTTCCAATTCTATACGGGAGAAAACCCGAATAACCAAAGACCTACATACAAACACCCGCGAAAACCTCAGAAAACATATATATCTATATCTACACCTATATCTATATATCTTATCTATATCTATCTATCTATCTATCTTATCTATCTATCTATCTATCTATCTATCTATCTATCTATCTGTGTGTGTGTGTTTTTTTTTTTTCCTCTAGCCAGGTTTTTCCTACATAACCAAGGTTTTTCTGCAGCCCTAGCTCAGTGGAATCACATCCACTCGATTCTGGGCTTTTTTTCTTTCTGGCAGCCAGCAAGTTCTTGCTGCCAGGTGAGAGACTTATATAGATCTATTTCTGGCTCATTAGCCATCATCAGTAAGCCACACCCACATCTCATGTATCCTCCCTGTAAAGGTACAATATCTATTTTCTTACTTCTTCGTAGGATTTATGTGTGTTTTTCCTCTAGCCAGGTTTTTCCTACGTATGTGTGTGTGTGTGTGTGTGTGCATACACACACACACACACACACACACACACACACACACACACACACACACCGTTTCCCTGAAAATAAGACCCAACTGGAAAATAAGGCCTTGCATGATTTTTCAGGATGCTCGTAATATAAGCTTGACCCCCCCAAAATAAGCTCCAGTTAAGATCATCAGCAGATGGTTTAGTACTGTATTTTCCCCCAAAATAAGACATACCCGGGAAATAAGCCATAATGCATCTTTTGGAGCAAAAATTAATATAAGACCTGGTCTTATCTTGGGGAAAACATGGTATGTATATCTTACAACAAGCCTGCTGGGAGCATCCTTACCTGCCCCAGCTGAAACAGTTGCTACGACAGCAAAAAGCCGACCTTTTATTATTAATTTTTAACCCTCTGTAAAATCAGAGTAGTAATACATTGTAGGTCACACCATCTAGTTTTTCCCTCTTGTTGTTCTCCTCTCCCTCCCTCTCTCCCTTCCGTCAACTCCTGTCAAGTTAATTAGCAATTTCGGAGTAATCATGATAATGAGCTAAGTCAGCAAAGATGTCATTGGGGTTATGGCAACTCAGGTTGCAGAAACAGGCATTAATCCACATGATTTTCCTGGAAAAGTCGGTCCCATCCGGACATTGAAAGTTGACTTCGATGGTCTTCGATTTGTAGGGGCTACAGCAACGGTCATCCAGACAAAGGCCACAGTACTTGGGCCTGTAGCGGAGCTTAGTTGCGCATCCAGAGAGCGTATAGTTCATAGGCTCCTCTCCTCTGTACACCGTTAAGCATTTCTTTCCAGGCTGTAAGAAAGGAAGGAAGAGAATTAATCATGGATGGTGCAAATTCAATCAAGTTGATCAAAATGGACGTCCTTTCAAGCTTTTTCTAAAAGGAAAAGACAACATAAAGACAGTCTTTGATTTACGGCCACAATTCAGCCCAAAATTTATGTTGCAGGAACTGGGTATGTCTAATTTAATGAAAAGAAGGACTAGGGGAGACATGATAGCAGTCTTCCAATATCCCAGGGATTCCCACAAAGAAGAGGGAGTCAAGCTATTCTCCAAAGCACCAGAATTCAAGACAAGGAACAATGGATGGAAACTAGCCAAGGAGAGAAGCAACCTAGAACCAAGGAGAAATTTTCTGACAGTGAGAACAATTAATCAATGGAACAACTTGTCTCCAGAAGCTCCAAGCCCTCCCAAGCTCTGTTACCACTGGCAGAAGGTTGCAGGAGGCCGTCGCAGCCGAAAACAGAGCTCAGGAGCCCGTTTTCACTGGCAGAGGCACCGTGGGCCAGATCTAAGCACCCCGCAGGCCAGATCTGGTATAGGGTTTCCTGCTTGAGCAGGGTGTTGGACTAGAAGATCTCCAAGGTCCCTTCAGATTCTGTTATTCTGTTATTCCTCCACTTCCCATGGGGGGCAGGGTCCAACCCTAATCAAACTCCCACTGCAGCCCTGACCTCCCCTCTCCAAAAGTTGCATGCGATTCCTCCAACTGACCTAGTCTTACATAGTAGATACCTTAATGTGCTTGGTGAGGTCCACCTCGCATGGACGTAGATCACAGAGACGGCTCTCTTTCATAAACCGGCACTGGGCGTTATCGTTTGAGATCCTTGTGGAAATGCCCATTCCACAACTCTTGGAACAAGGGCTCCAGGAAGATGTTTGCAGGATACAGTTCTTCTGCCACGTTTCAATTTCTCCTCCATAAACTGACAAGCAAAGGCACGGATGAAGTTAGTTGAAGTTTTGTTACCAGCCTTATGAAGAGAATGTCTATGGAGATCCTCAGTCATCCAGGGCAGGGGTGGGTTCCACTTATCTTTACTACCGGTTCGCAGCGAGATCACGCACGCGCAATCACCAATGATGACGTTGTTCCGGATGGGTAGAGCCTCCCGCCGGTTTTACTACCGGTTCTATAGAACCGGACAGAACCGGGAGCAACCCACCACTGATCCAGGGCATGGTTGTCCCCAAGGTGTTTTTTTCAAAAGGCAACTGGATTTTCTTTGTTTGTTTGCTTGAAGAACGTTCTGCTTCTCATCGAAGAACTGGAAAAACTTCTTGGATGAGAAGCGAGACATCTTCAAGCAAAAGCAAAGGAAGTCCAGTTGCCT